CATACAGTTACCATAAAAGGAAACACAAAAGCGAAAGGAAAATGAGTGCAAACAGGAGTCTCAGAAGCTCCAAGCTGACCGTCAGGCCCAACTACAATCTAGGAGACATGTCTAAGGGGAGAAACAACACGAAAAACAGAGAAACTACACCATACTCGGTTCCAAAACCCAGCAAAAAACAAGGAAAAACTGAAACGGAAGCAACACCCCAAATGCTGACACCACCGTCCAAGGTTGCAACCCAGCAGAAACAAGCAACAGCAACAGCGCAATGTGACAAAATTGGTCACGAAAATACATGGAGCCAAATTATGGAAGAAGAAATGGGAGAAACATCCACCAGCACACAGACCCACCCTGAAGAGGAAACACAGGGAAAGCCACAACAAACCAGCAAACAGCAAGTCTTGGAGAGGCATCAGACACCATCCTTCGGAGGACATGCCCGCATTGACGATAGCGACGAAGACATGTACGCATCAGACCCAGAAAACTATAACCACCAGCAACATGAAAATGAATGACAAACGGTCAACAAGGGAAAGGGAAAGGCGGAAAGAACAAGTGACAAGCCTAGACCCCGTTCTCCATTTGATCGCATGGTAAGATATGGCAGACAAAGAAGCAAGATTGGAATTCCAGCGGTAGAAATCCCTGGCACCACATTCTGGCAGAAAATACAATACATCACTAAAGCCCTAGAAGCACCCGAAGGCCTTCTCGCAATTCGCAAAGAAGGGAAAAAAGACGAAGAGTCGATCGTAGCCATTTTTGGAGATCAGCAAGCCGCAGAAAGGGCAAGCACAATCAAATTACCAGGTTTGGACAACAAGTTTATGGAACACATGCCTGACACCAACCCCTATACAAATAAGGAAAACAGTATCAGAGTATGGGACATCCCCCTGGACGCCAAACTCATAGACGTACAACAAACATTCACTAGATATGGGCAGGTCACTGACATCAGTATGAGTACCCAACGCATGTGGCAAACAGCCGTAGTCACATTCCAAGAAAGAAGCACCAAGGAAAGACTAGTCAACATGTGGAGCACCCCCTTCAAAGCTGACTCAGTCAGAATCTTCGATGAACAATGGAGCCTTAAAGAAATGAAAGACAGGGGCAATATTGCTGCCAAATTAGTCAATCTCCCCCCAAATACAACAGCATTTGACCTGCGTGTCATCTGTCAACAAATTAAAGCTAAAACCTGTTACATTCCCAGAACAGGAAGTTATCGTCGAAAAAAAGTAGCAATCATCAGTTTTGAAAGCCAACAACGTTTAGAGGAGGCAATGGCACAAGATTTTATCCTGGGTGAAACACAAATCACGTGGGCCCAAATCGACACAAAGACCTGCGCCATATGTGACGCGCATACACACTTAGCAGTGGACTGTCCAAGCAAACAAAGACGACAACAGTGGAAGGAATACAACAAAGAACAAGCAAACAAGTTTGGTAAACTGTACCAGAAATTCAAACCCGCGAAAACAACAAACATCAGAAGAACCATGGATACAATCACAAAAGGAAAAAGAAACAGCAAGCCTGGATCATATGCAGCAGCTCTCAAAAAATCAGAAGCACATACGGCACAAGATGTACAAGATCCAAGCAACTTGCAACAAGTTGTGGACATTCTCAAACAACTTCAACAAGACATTAAAGAAATCAAAGAACAACTAACAGAGATGGATGAAAGAATCACAAATCTCGAATATTACGACGAAGATGGAGTGGGTGCTATGGAAGAAACAGAAGACATCCCGGATCAAAGAGCAGATGACGACTTCACAGAAGAAGCACAAAGAAACCAGACAGTCAACAGAAACGAAATACAAGACCTCCAAGCACAACAGAAACAAATTCACGTAACCATCCAACATACCAACCAAACGATGAACAACCTCATGAACACTATTCACAATCTCATCCCAGGAGACACAAACACCATGACCAATCTTAATTAATGGGAAACAACCCAAGCACCAGCGCAGAGGCGCACGAGATTACTGACAACCTGTCCAATTTCTATAATTCGATAGACAGTTACCCAGAAGAAGACATACAACCATCCGAAGAGTCACAAGAATACAACATACATGACACCAATCACACAGTAGACACAGACGCAACCAACAACAATGACAACAACACCCCAATCCAAGGAAGCGCAATAGAATCTCAGGAACAACTAAGAGAAGCACGAAACACACCACATACAACAATATACCCACAACACAATCCCACACTACAAAGGAACAAACACAACAACGCACAAACACAAAAACCAGAACCACAGCCATGGAAAGTCTGGAAAATAGCAACACATAACGTTAGAGGATTCAATGACCTCACCAAAAGAGCAATATGGCTAACATACTGCAAGGAGGAGGAAATAGATATTGCAATCATCACAGAGACGCAAGTTACATCAGAAGCATCCAAACACTGGAAGATGCAAGGTTACCACACCACATGGAGCAATAGTAAAAAGGGTGGTGGAATCATGATTATGATTAAAGAAGACATCGCAAACCACATTGGTAACATTGATACATACCAAGGAAGAAGTATATGCATAGATCTCAACTACAAAAACCACAAACACATCAGCATAGTCGGAGTATACATACCAAGTAAGGGCAACCCAGAACACCGCGCCGTAACCAAATGGATCCAAGACAAAATCTGGGCCAGACATCACAAAAACTGGCATATAATCACAGCAGGAGATTTCAACGCCCTACATAACCCAAAAATTGACAAAAGACCCGCGAGCAACAGCCAAAGACCAACGGCTCACATACTCCAGAACCTCATTCAACTAGATCACATCGACACCTTCCGAGAAACATGGCCAAACAGAACCCGATTCACCTGGACAAACATGCGTACAACACAATCCCGGATCGACTATATCTGGATGTCACCTAACCAGAGTTGGAATCTGATTAATGCAGACATAGAATCCTCAAACATGTTGACCAATAGCGACCATGACATCGCCACTTGTAAAATCGAAATAACAGAAATCATATCACAACAACAGAAACTCAGAACTTCGAAGCACAGCAACATCTTCGACACAAAGAATACCAACAGCAAACAATGGGAAAAATACAAACAGCAGATAGAAGACGCAATCACAGAACAAAACCAAAAACATAACATGGAGAGATATACAGCCAACAAGACCTGGAATCTTACATGGGATGCTATATGCAAGGCAGCACACCAAAACATCAAGAAAAGGAAAAAACA